TCAGGCGAACTGGATGTTTAGATATATTGATTTTGGCGATTTAATGATTTCGTTCAGATATTTTTTACGAATATTATTTTCTTTCACATTAAATTACTTTCATTTTCAAAATAGGCTTCATGTAAAAATGCGAATCATGCTTTTGAATAAATTCCTACATGAACTCGTGTGCGATAAGATGACGCATAATAGGGAAAGGGCCGTTCCTGGGCTTGCATCATAAATCAGAGTATACGTCTCTTCAGCGCGATAAAACCACTTTTCGCTCAAGGATGACGCCCCTGGCAAAATACCACCGATTGTGCACTAAGGGATTGCAGTGATGTTTTGCTGCCAGGTTATGAGAAGATATGTCTGTTATTTGCTACGCCGATGACATATGGTATTAATTAGGCACGGGCATTTCTTATTCTGCAAGCTGCGATATCGGTCGTCCCGATGGCGTCATCATTTTTTCCGTTCACCAAAATACGGTTTCGCGGAAGCTAGCACTGCTCAAATATCGCAGGAACCGCCCTCATTTTTAACTTGGGAATGTAACGAATCACTTCGTTTCTATCCCATCGATTTTCGTTCATTCTGCACAAAGTTGAAAGAATTTGAATTTGAAGGTAGTTTTACTCTATAGACTACACCCCCTAGATATAGTGGCACACCATAAAACTGCATATACACATGTATTCCGCAACCCCTGGTCCGGTTTTGATAAATGAGGTATCATTTTTATAGCCCTTATTCGTGGATTATGAACATGAGAATAGAGTTCCTTCTTACCCTCTATTTACGAGGGATTGGTTTGCGTCGGTGTTATAGTCATAGAATGTATATATATTTCACAGGCATTTAACCCTTTCTGCTTGGATGGCATAACATACATGTCATGCCTAATGCAGTCTTGGTTTATCAACTGTAATTATTCATATATAGTTCCACAAGTACTTAGTCTTGGAGTCAAGTATTAGTCCAATTATCTCATATGTTTACTCCGAAGGTTGGGAAATGACCTGGGTGGATTATTCGGAATGGAAAAAGTTGGCAGAAAGTATCGAGGAGGGGCTAGTAGTAGTTGTCGGAGCTGAGATCAAATGAGAGGGGTCGGGATCAAAATTAGATAGGCTAGTTGATGAAGGAGCAAGCCATAATGCCCAAATAAGAGTACAAGATCTTCATTATTGGCCATGGTGGGCCTGAAATATGTGGGGAAGAGAAATGGTAGACCATTTTGTGGTTGTATGTTTGGCGGTCAACCATGGGAATGCAGTGTCCATGGCTGACACAAACCCAGCCTTTTCATCCTTTCAGCATGGTTCTTACACTTTATAAAGTGAACTGAAGAAGGGACTAAAGAGAATGAAAGGGAAAGGATTAAAAGGATAGACTATGCAAATCTAATCGTGATAAAGGCTGAGGCCCAAGGCAGAGGTGATCCTCAACACACTACCTCAGTCCCGGTCTCCTATGCCCGTACGTGCATTGAATTGGGGGGGGGGGGATATTACATTTTCAAGTACAGTCCTAGATTTGACAGGCTTCTTGTGGAGAAATACATTTTTTACTTTAAACAATATATTTTCCATATGTATTTACTTCATAGTTCAGGAACATCTTTCACCCACAGAGATATTGTAACCCAACAGGGTCTGTGTAAATGTTTTATGAACCTAGTAGTAATGATTTTCTGGACTAGATTTATTGGATCATAGGGGTCAATTGTCCCAGCCACTAAGACAGAGGGGGCCCAGGATAAGGATTTCCTATATGATAAAATGTAATAGTTATATAGGTTTTATTATTAAAGAGAACTAAAGTGTGTGGGGGAACCAGCCTAAAGAAAAGAAGGGTGCCCTCTTCCCTTTGAATAATTTGATAAATTGGTAAATGTAAAATACTTAAAAAGTCTTAATCTGGAAATAATCATAAATGGATTTACAATTCCATAATGCAAAAAAGTAGGTAACTTACACTTGAGACCTATGAAATTATTGTTGTACAAGATTAACATACCACTATGGTCATTATTACAAATTGAAAACTATAGTCTGTTATTCTTTGTCAAGAAAACTGAGAAAAATATAATTGGTAGTTTTTATTGGAGGTAAAACACTTTTTTCTCTTATTTGCAATGTAATTTAATCTTATGTTTAAAGCTCACCTCCCCCTGATGATTTTTATGTTAATACAGTGACTTTGTGATGAAAATACATGAGTTGGGACTCATGAAACCCAGCCTTGCTGCATAGCATATAAAAGATTTAATGATATGGCACTTTTCTTTGCACCTTGTACATTTGGAATTTTTACAATATAGCAAAGGAACAAAGGATGCTAATTCACTGCTTGGCAACCCAAAGCTGACAAAAATTCAGATTGTTTTCCCCAAGACAAATAACAGTACTTTCTTGACTAAAATTATATAAAGAAACCAAAACACACGATAGTCTTACCAAATCTGTATTAAATGCACAGTGAATAATAAATATAGGAGAAAAAAAACACTAAAACAGACAGTGTGTTTTACTTACAAATTGAGAAATTCTCGCCAAGTATAATATACTTACATTGCATCTTCCACATACGACAAGTTTCATATGCACAACTATGTACAGACATGATGCATTACATCTTTGGGTTAGAAAAAATAGCATGAAAAAAGTGACATGTAAAGAGAAATAATTTATTATATGTGAACAAACTTCATTGCAATATAAATAATTAATTTTACTCCGAAAACAGTTTAACAGAAAGCTCTAACCAAGATTTTGATTTTTTTCATGATTGTGTAACTGTGTCTAAAAGAAAGAGAAGAGAAAGAAAGAATGGGTTAAACAGCTTGTGAAATGCATCAAAGATCCTCATCCCTAAACGAGACTAAAAGCACGGAAAAAATATAGACAATACATATATCTCATTATTTTTTTATCGTTTCTTTTATAAATAACAGCCTATTCATTAGAAGTTGATGGGCTTTCCAAAGTATGCAGCCAGGTTAGCTTCACGGAAGGCCTCCGAGCAGGTGGGGTGGGCATGGCATACACGTGCTACGTCCTCACAACTAGCACCATACTCCATGGCCAATGCTGCCTCATTGATCATCTCGCCTGCGCCTGGACCAATGATGTGTGCGCCCAACAACCGATCTGTATGCTTGTCTGCCAAGATCTTGACCAGGCCATCAGTGTCATCATTACACTTAGCACGGGAATTGGCTGCAAATGGGAACTTGCCAACTGCATACTCCACACCCTAGATGGGAGGGACAAGGGTTACTTGATTATCAATGCATAATCAGAAACTTTTGAATTTACTGAACCATTAAATATCAAAGTAATCACTAGAACAAACAAAACAGATAATCTACATTGCAGTAAAAAAAACAAAAAAACTGATGGGTTACGTAACTGAAATGTTGGATAATTCACTTGTCTCACAATAATCTTTACTTTCACTCATTCCTATCTACTAATCTTCATAAATCTCCTCTTAAAGATTTCAAACCTACCTCAGCCTTCAGGTCCTCCTCTGTCTTGCCAACCCAAGCCACCTCAGGATGAGTGTAGATAACAGATGGTACACAGTTGTAGTCGATGTGGACAGGGCCGCCAGCAATGCCCTCTACACACACAATGCCCTCATCTTCTGCCTTGTGAGCCAGCATGGGGCCATGGATGCAATCCCCGATGGCAAAGATGCTAAAGGCGAAGATTATAATTAGTTTTACTTGGTTTCTACAGACAATATAAACACTAAATTCTAATCTACATAACTCCCCTGGTTACCTTTCTGGCTTTCTTCAGATTTTGATTGCCTCAAATGTATTTGCATTGGGAGCAGAGAAGGAGAGGGACAGAGAGAGGGAGAGGGGCAGACAGAGAGACAGGGACAGACAGGACAAGGGACAGGGACAGGACAGAGAGAGGGAGGTAGAGGGACAGAGGGAGAGGGAGAGGACAGAGAGAGAGGGAAGAGACAGAGAAGAGGGAGAGTGAGAGGGAAGGGACAGGAGAGGGGAGAGGGAGAGGGAGAGGAAGAGGGACAGAGAGGGAGAGAGACAGAGAGAAAGAGGGAGAGGAAGAGGGACAGAGGGGGAGAGAGACAGAGAAGGAAAGGAGAGGCGAGAGGGAGGGGACAGAAAGGGAAAGGGAAAGGGAGAGGGAGAGGGACAGAGAGAGGGAGAGGGAGAGGGGCAGAGTGAGGGAGAGAGACAGACAGAGAGAGAGAGGGAGAGGGAGAGAGAGAGAGAGAGAGAGAGAGAGAAGAGAGAGAGAGAGAGAGAGAGAGAGAGAGAGAGAGAGAGAGAGAGAGAGAGAGAGAGAGAAGAGAAGAGAGAGAGAGAGAGAGAGAGAGAGAGAGAGAGGGAGAGGGAGAGGAGAGGGAGAGGGAGAGGGAGAGGGAGAGGGAAGGGAGAGAGGGAGAGGGAGGAGGACAGAGAGAGGACAGAGAGAGCGGACAGAGAGGAAGCAGAGAGGGAGAGGGACAGAGAGAGGGAGAGGGACAGAGAGAGGGAGAGGGACAGAGA